GTGTGTGTGTGTGTGTGTGTGTGTGTGTCAGTCTGCTGTTTATGCTGTTCCTGGGACTGGTAGCCTGCCAAGAGCTGTCTCTCCCATTTTTCCAGTCACAGGGGGCCCAGAAATGCAAGCCCCACTGGCCACAAGGGCCAGGTGACCAAGGGTTGTCCTCTGGACGGAATGCACATACCTGCCAGCTTTAGCAAGGCAACAGGAGAGTGCAGGGCTGGGGCACGCCTGCCAGCTTCAGAGCAGCACTGGAGGAGCACAGGCCCAGGGCATGCTGGCTGGCTTTAATGAGGGAGCAGCAGAGCACAGGGATGGCACATGTCCACCAGCTTTGGTTTTAGTGAGGCAGCAGGAGAGCACAGGCCCAGGGCAGGCCTGCCAGTTTTATCAAGGAAGAGGGCAAGTGCAGCGCTTAGACACGCCCACTGGCCTATGGGGCACTGAGTGCTGTAAATGCCCAGGCCCACAGGTGTCAACACAATAGAGGGGGGGTGCAAAAATGGTGTAACGAGTGCCTCCATCCCTGGAGAGTCCCAAAAGGCCCCTGCTCCTCCAGCAGACAATTAGGATTAGCAAATGAACCTCCTTATATGTGGTTTAGGTGCTTTTTAAACTGTTGCTTTTGTGCTGGGTCCTGGGGTGAGTGAGCCTGCACTTGAGTTTTTTAAGAGCAGAATCTCAGTTTGCTACAGCCTTTGGGTCTCCTGGCCACAAGCCCTGTTGGTTTTCAATGTGAAACACTTTGGGAGCTCACCTCTATGGTGCAGGTCCCAAGGACCGGAGTGCCTGATGGGGGGCACCAGCCCCTTCCTCCTCAGGAGGGAGCTCCCGATGGTGGGTCACAGTGTCACAGTGCCGGGAGCAGAGAGGGGGGTTCCTTACAAGATCCATGTCTTTGCCTCTCCTACCCGTCTTGATGTGGCCCTTTTATCCTCTGCTGTAGGCGAGCTGTCCAGCGAGTGCCGAGGTCTTTCTCCGAGGGATATGTCCCATATGCAGCTGTACATTTGGTGTGTCTGCGGGGGAGGTGAGTTCAGGCTCTTGCCACACTGCCATCCTGAACTAACTTCTGCTAGGTACTTTAGAAAGCAAATCATTCAATCCTAAAAATAATTCTGTGAATTATTAAGCTCATTTTACAGATGAGGAAACAGGATCAGATAAATTACATCACAGTTTGCTGCCAGGTAAGGAGAGATTAAAATCTATGCCTCGTTCTGTGGCTTATGTGTTGCTGGTTGCCTGTGGTTAAACTACAAGTGCTGAGCTTTAGTTTCCTTATTTTAATAATTAAGATAATGATGGTACCTACTTTTAGAGCCCTGTGAAATTTAAATAGCTACCCTGTACACATACCAGTGTGGTGGAAAGGGGCAGGACTGGCACTGTGCCACTTCCGAGAGTAAGCCTTCGAAGCCTGCTGGCCTTTCCCTTTTGCCCTCTTCTGACACTTCTTTCATGCTACAAGGCCCAGGGAGCCTATGAATGAGGCGACCCCACTGGCAGACAGAGAGAAAGAGGCCCAGCTGGCACACAGCACCTTGGCCTCTGACATGTCAAGTGTGGCCGTTGCAGACCCTCAGCGGGAAGCCAGCTGCCAACTGACTGCAGCTGCATGAGTGGACCCAGATGAGACCAGCATTAGAACTTCTCAGTCACCTACAAAATCACGAGAAGTAATAAAGCAATTTTTAAAACCACAAAGTTTTGCAGTGGTTCATTGTACAACAGATGACTTTAACAGTTTGACTAAAAACATGTTTACAATCCCAAATTAAAGGTACAAAAATGAGATAAAAGAACACTTCATAATCCATACTTTAAAGTTTTATCCCCCCAAAGATCTTCTCCAACTTTGAAAAACTGACTTTCTTAATTCGTAAAAGTTCAAATAACCTTTGACATATATGACTAATCATAGCCAGCAGGCTATATTTTGTCTGATGAAATCAATACTTCTATAAGCCCTGGGGAAGAACAATTATTTAGCTAAAGCCAGACTAAAATAAGGGAAAGAGTTCTGAAGTAGATGACCAAATGACCCTATCTGCTTTGCTCCCATCTTCTTAGGGAAACACATCAGCAGTCTCTCATTTGCCCCCCTCCCCATCCCTAACATTTCTCTCTGTGGCATTTGATTATGGAATTGCTTCGTACATCAGACTAAACTTCAAGGCTTTCCTCCTAATTCTGACATGTAAACATTCTCTCATTTCTTCCTATCTATTGATTATTCCCAAATCTGTATCTATAGTCCAGAAAGCTTTCCTGAGATCAGGACTCGTCTCTTAAGACAAAATGAAATCATCTCCTCACGTACCCTGGAGTCAGTTCAAAACTGAACAACTAATCCTTTGCTCCGCTCCACCTTTTCTCTTCTTCCTTTTTCTAATGTCTTTTTCTCCTTTCATACTATCAGACTAAGTCCTATTTAGGCAGAATTTCTTCTGGGAAACCTTTCAAAAATCTCCAGGGCTAGGTTAGGTGCTAGTCTTTCCTGAAATTTATCACTTCTCTTTGAACATTATTACAATTGTGCATATTAAAACTGTACATCTTGTATACATTATAACAACTGTAGTTTTTATTTTACCATTCATTCAACAAATACAACATGTGAGATAATGATAAATGATGCAGTAAAATACAGCAGGGTAAGTGGCTGCTTCCACCTTAGAAGGGGAGCCCTTTTCAGTTTGCTTATAGAGAAAAAGCTTTGAACAAAGAGAAAAAGCTGCTCTTCAACTGGGGGTGTGGGGGTGTGTATGAGCACGTGTGTAGGGAAGGAATTTTCAGGCACTCCAAGACTTGATCCTAATGAGATGGGAAGCCATTGGAATGTTCTGAGCAAAGGATGGCATAACCTGATTTATGTTTTTACATGATACCCTGGTTACTAGATGGAGAATAAACTATAGGAGGGTAAGGAAGGAAGCTGGGAGAGCAGGAGGTTATTGCTATAATATGGTGGTCCTCAACTGGAGGCAATTTAGACTCCCAGAGGACATTCTTACAACGTGTGGTGACATTTTTGGTTGTCCTAACTGTGGGAGAGAGTCCCCACAGTTATAACTACTTGCATCTAGTGCACAGAGGCTAGCTAATGCTAAATACCCTACAATGCCCAGGACAGCCCACTCCCCCTAAAAGAATTACTGGCTCAGAATGTCAGCAGTACCAAAGTTGAAAAACTGTGTAATACTGTGATAGAATGGTGGCTTGGATTAGGATGGTAGTGGTCAGAGGTTGAGAGGTGCTCAGATTCTGGATATCTTTTAAAAGTAGAGATGATATTTGCTGAGGGATTAAATGTATAGTATGAGAGAAAAAGTGGGATCAAAGATGAGGGCAAAGTTTCTCACCTGAGCAATTAGAGGAATGAAGCGCCTTGTATTGAGATGGGCAAGGATGTGGGAGTAGCAAGTAGGGGACGGGTATTTTCTCTCATCTGGGGGTGAGAGGAAGCAACTGATGGGCCTCAAGTGTTCAGTTTGGACATATTAAATTTGAGAATGTCTACTTGGTGTCAAGTGAATAGATCAGGTAGGCAGATGGATATATGACTCTGAAGTTCATGGGAAAGGTTGAGGCTGCAGATAGAAACTCGTGAGTCTTAGCCTCTACACTGTATTTAAAGCCATAGAACAGGGTGAGATGTTTCAGGGAGTGAATGCTAACTGAGAAGAGATCTGAGCTCTGAGGCGTTCTAACGTTTAAAGGGGAGGAGAAACCAGTGAAAGATACTCAGGTGAAGTATGAGGTTTGAAGTATGAGGAGGTCTGAGGTATGAGAACTGAGAGTAGGAAAGAATGACCAACTGGGTCAAATGCTGCTGAGAAGTCAAAAGGAAAATGAGTTTTAAGAAATGACCACTGTACCTGGCAACATGGATGCCAGTGCTTATGGGGAAATGAGCCATTTTGGTGGTAAGGTAGGAATGAAAGCCAGACTGGCCTACTGTCAGAAAACTTAACAGCAGAGGAAAGTAGAGAGTAGCTCTAAACAATGTTACACTTTCTTGAGGTCTTTGAAAAGCTGAGTAATGAAACACACTAATATCTGGCAGGGGGATTTTTTTCTCCCAACTTATTTCATATATTCAAATACACAAAAAAGTTTATAGTATGACAACCTCCCTTATTATATCTACTGATAAATTCAACATGTAACACCATCATATTTGTTTTTCACATATGTATATACATATATACATATATATATATATATATATATATACACACACACACACACACACACACATACTTCTGAATACCGAAGGTAATTTCAACTCTAAAGATACTTCAGATACACCTCCTTAATAAAAGTTCTTTCTCCTATATAACCATAACAACCATTAACACACTTAGGATAATAAAAACTATATCCCCAAATATATTTGATAACTAGGCATATTCAAATTCCCCCACTATGTGTTTTACAGCAGCTTTTTTCAAACCAGGATTTACTCAAAGTCCATAAACACTATCAGGTTTCTTTGGTCTTTCTAAATGACTTTTTAAAAAGACCTGTCTTATAGAATTAATTTGAAATATTCTTTGTCATTCCATTTAACCTGCTCTTCTGAACTAGAAGGGGAATTTTTGAGGGTAGTAAATATATATATTATTTCTGGTACAATATTCTATAATTAACATTTCCCAACCTTTCTGTATTTCTCTGCCCTTTCATGTTCAGAAAATTCTCAATTTATTCCAAGATTTTTTTTTTCATTTAATTGTGACCTCTTATCTCTGAAGACTCAACTGAGTACCTTCGAGGTTTCATATACCCCGTATTCAGAAAAAAACATACTACCTACTTTTCATCTATTATAAGAATTCAAGGGAGATCTCATCTTAAAGCTAATCAGTACATGAACCAAACATCATTTCATTGATTAATCTTGACAAATTATATTTGGAAAGTAAAATGGATTCTCTGAAATTTATTTCCTGATTAGCAAAATAGTGCCTCCTAATAGTTGAGAGGGAAGGCTGCTGTCAAATACATCTACGCAACTGGAAACTGTACCACCAAGAGAGCTCACTGGGCCTGGTTGCCTGTATGCTCTGGGTGCTTTTCTAAGTGGTAAACAGCTTAAATACAGATGAAAAAGTTGATTAGGCTAGTATTTGGGCTTCTGTAACTTGTCATTCATGTATAAATTTCTTAAACAACTTAATGAGTGTTCTTTAAGCCACTTACGATGCAAACTTACCTAACAATGTTTACAACTAGAATTCGAAAGAACATTCAGGCATTGCTGATTTATCTTTAGAAATTTTCTGCCATAATCTTCAGATTGTCTTTCCCATAGTGTTGGAAAGCATTAAAAATTGAAATGAATGTGCTTTGTTAACAGTGCTTTCTATATAAATAAATTTTATACTCTTTATTTCAATGAACATTTCAAGTTCCCTCCAACTTACATTGCTAATTTTTTGGTATCTTACAAACCTGAAATTATTTAGCACAGTATATCAAATATAAATTATGATGTAATGAGTTCATTTATGAGTTCAAATGAAATAAAATAATGAAATGAGTGAAAATAGTGAAATAAATGAGTTCATCTCATAGGATAAAATAAATGAGTAAAATAAAATGGTTAATGATTTTAACCATTTTGTTTACTTACTTGGACTTCTTCAGTGCTTTGGCATTAGAATTTTAATCAAACTAGTGATACTCAGAGTGACCGTTCACAACCCCTGTGGACCTACGGACGATTACAGTGAGGTGAACGACCTTCACTAGTCACCAAGTCCACTTCAGCCTGATTTGTCACTGCAAAAAAACTCATCACTGGAATAAACCAGAAGCTGGGAATCAGATTTTATGAAGCACCTCCCATGATACCAGAAGTAAACTATTAATTCATACTAAAATCAAAATTGTGGTGGTGATCACCTTAAAAGTCTGCCTGTAGATACCTGAACTTTCAGACTATCTAGAACATCATGCAAACCAAGACAAGTTCCTGATCATACTATGCCAAGTTCTGACTTTGACAGTTACACAGGAAGGTGGGGCCAGCAGTAGAAAATCATTCTTTCAACTTACTCTCCAGCTAGGAAATTATACAATAACATACACAAAAATACAATTATTTCACAGAACTACACTAACATTTGCACAATTTCAATGGAATACTCAACATTATTGAATTACTTGCTCTAATATGAAGCAATGTGAGGCAACAAAATCAAACTAACATGTTACATGATCGTGGTAGCCGGCCTCCAATGGCCTCCAATGAGCCCTGCCTCCTGGAAGTCGCCCACTGTGTGCGTCTGCGCAATAGAGCGATGTTAGGTTTTAAGACTGGTTGCGGAAGACATTGCGGTTCCTGCCTCTCTTTCTTAGATCACTTACTGTGGGGGGAAAGCCAGCGGCCATGCTGTGAGGACACTCGGGCAGCTTTCAGATGGCTGCAACCACATGACATGAATTGGAACCACCCCGCTAAACCACTACAAGATTCTTGACCATCAAACACTGTGAAGTAATAAATGTCGTGTTTTAAGCTGTTTAGGGATAATTCCTTACATAGTAAAAATACAATATAATCTAATTTAATTTGTTGAAGTGGTAACTTTGTAACTTCTCATTTCGGTCTTAAAAATCATAGCACCCTGATGCAGTGCAATGCATTATAAAAAAAGCCAGTAACAAATACCTACTGAGGGTAAAA